ACTACGCCACAGTTTACCCAGTACCGCCTCTATCCGATGACACGGTAATGACCATCATTTAACTGTGCGATGTTTATGCAATATGCTTATGTTATTTTAATTAATGAATTTTGGTATGAATTGTACGCGCATTAGGTGTGCTATCTCATGTGATGTCATTTAAGTGGGGCTGTAATATTATTTGTCATGACGCGCAATCTAAAAATTTACGATAATGCTTGGGTTCCTCTTGCAAAACTGGCAAACTCGTATGTAAACTAAAAACTTCACACCACTCAGGGCTACTTCATAAGTATTAAAACTGTTAACATACTTTGACATTATTGATTTCCTCCCGTTGTTACTAAAGAATCCCTCATCCATGTGTTTTCCCAACAATTGCTTTTCTTCACCTATGAAAATCGGCCATCAGTGAGGGGACTTACGGATCGCCTAAGTGAAATGCTTGTACTATAACATTAACAGAAACTTATTATAATTGTACATACATTCCGATAAGTTTTTAATGCTTCCAATAAATTGCTCCTTCTCACGAATTCGCGTCCCGTGGACTGTCAGATATTAGGTGACGCATAGTACGTACATATACGGCGGCAGAAGTAGCAGCACGAAGCGTCCCACGTATGCTAGGGGGTTTCGACGTGCACCACGTGGAAGTGATGAAACACTGCGCTCCAGGAATTTTCGCGGTACATGTCGGTATTTTAAAGGGGAGCCAAAAGTGGGCAAAAATGCGGAGCTAGACAGGGGGACCAGACAGGGCTGTCCCGTAGTATGCCCAGTTATAACCCCGTCTATAGCCTCACCCAGTCCGCGGGGCTTTATGGGGTTAGGCAAGGCCGGTGCTTGCAGGGATGTTTTACATATAGCACCTGTCGTCTGGAACGACCTCAGCGACAGTAACTCCGCATGTCAAAATCGTAGGTTATTGCTTTCTTATCTTATTGTTATTTATATCTGGAACATATTGCTTTTCACTAAACGAAACTTCTACGTTTCGCACAATTAGCCAACCGAAATTCTTAGATATTACGAAGCAAGCACGTAAACATTTGAGGAGTTAATTCAGTGTCCTTGAGGAAAGTAGGCCTACACTTTGAACTTCACATTCGTCACATAAAAGTCCGAAGTATTGGCAACAAGAAAGAAATTAAAGCGCCAACTAAAGGTCGACTTCGATTCACACTTCATTCGTTTTTATAGTAATAATAATGATGATTATATTCAATGCCAGTTTACATACACTGTCGAAGAAAAACAAGGCACGGATCAGGCCAACAATAGAAAAACTCCCTACGATTAAATACTCAGTACTGTGTTTTTGTAACTTTGATGGTCCAGGAGAGCAAAAAACTTCTGCCCATGAAAGTACTTCAGTCCAGAAAGGCAAAGGTAACGCTGTTTTGCATATTTTCAGTCTCAATTACTTCACATGAAAGTGGTACCGGATCAAACAGAGGCGTCAAAAAAACGTTGTTCGCTGGTGACTAAAGTAACTGTCCGTGGGGAGACGGGCCAGGCTGTCAGAGACCACGAAATCCATCACTATGACTGGTTAAATCGGTCGAATAGGCAACCAAAATATGTAGGAGAATTTCTGACTGCAAAAACGAGTAATGGCTTTCTTAAACGAAGAATAATTTTGCAGGACTTTTGCATTCCTGGGTAATTTGTTCCAAATTGTATTTTTGTTTGCAGAAAAGAAACGATGATATTTAACGGGACATGGCAAAGGAAGAAGTTAAAAGGCCTCATGGTGACTATTAGGGAGGGGCGGTCGAGAGGTTATAAAGTGATAAGGGGGTTAAAAATACGATTGTTTAAAAGGCTAAACAGTAAAAAAGCCCTAATGTGAGCGTCGAAACCACAAGAAATAAAGGCCTTTAAGGTCGTAGAGTTCCTGGTAGTTTAGTATTGGCGGTCCAAGGTCAAAGTTCTCTTGGTAAAAAAGATATTGGACGGATTCTGTTTTCTTCCGCGCAGCAGCACGTATGAGGCTAAATAAAAATGAACAGTATTACGTGACATGCGTGACGTACATTCTGTTGAGGCGCAATATAATGTCGCTAGTTCCGAAATTTCGGAGGGTAAACCCTGTCGTTCTGCGTGCTTTGGAGACAATCGGGTCACAGTGCTCCGAAACATTAAGACTCATGGAGCACTATACACCAAGATCGTCAGTCAGTCAGTGTATTTGAGGTCAATAGGTTTACGCCTTTGAACTCCCTATGTGCACACAAAGAATCAAAAAATAAGCAAAAATGTGAAGAAATTACAGTGTAAATTGAGTGTAGACACCGATTCGCATAGGTCAAGGGACTTACGGTTACAAAGTCACAAAGTTCGCTTGTTGCTGCAGCATATGTCTCAAGCCGACGTTTGAATGTCTCCACAGGCTGAGACATTACAATCGCCTCGGACAGGTTGTTCGATGGTTCCATTGCACAGTCTGTGAAAAAGTACTTTCTCACATCCAACCTTTCTTCGGGCGCAAGTAGCTTGAAGGGATAACCCAAAGATTAACTGCAACAGTAAGTTGGAATAAGTCTGCGCACTGCAGGGCACAGTGTGAACCACGCGCGACACGGAAAGTGTATATCAAGTCTCCGCACAATTGTTTGAGCAACTTGCGCAGAAGGCCATACAACGCCCTCAGGAAATCAACGCAAACAGTGTGCACAGTGTATTTTGTATCGAGTGCTCTTGCCCAGCTTTGTGTCGTGCAAAGCAAGTTCGTTACACACTATCTTCCCTTGCGAAAGCCATATTATGTATAGGAGAACGTCTTGTGTGTTTCCATATAACTCATCAATTTCTTTCGATTTGTCTTCTACTGTGCTTTGCGGCAGATTTATGTCAGACGGGGGGAGTCTGTATTTCATTGCAAGTGCACGAATGCCACTTTTGTAAAACGGTATGATGCGAGCTGTCCCACAGTCTATGGGAAGCATTCCATCATCAAGCGATTTCAGGCACAGAAATGATCGTAATTTTTCTAACTTTCAGGCAAGTTCAAAGAATAGATTTGTTAAAATCTCAGCTGAGCCTAAGGATTTGCGTTCCTTGAAATTTTTTTAGTTCTCAAAATGTCCCTTTCATTCGATAAAATATTTTTAATACTTCACGTTCTCAAACTCTCATAAGTGGGTGGGTTAAAAATTGTCGGCCTTGTTTGAGTTTTATGTTATCTCGATGTCGTCATCAATTCTAATAGTAGCGATCGGATTCCTTTCGCGTGTGTTCATGTGCAAGTAGCTATAAAGCATTTCGGAATGTTTACCGGCTCCGTGGAGTAAATCACTCTCAAAATCTCGTCGTCTTTTGAAAATCGTATTCCTTACCTTGTTTCTTTGGACTATACATTTTATAAAGGCTACATTTTTGTTGTTTCCGCGAAACTTCCTCCACAGCCTCCATCTCTTGATGATCACCTTTTAGAGATCCGTTGGGTAATGAGGTCTTTTGGATATCCAAGGCCTAGATAAGGGACATTGGCTCTCTATCAGATTCAACAACCGATCCTTAAATGAATTTAAGTCCTTGGTGACGTTCCCGAAGAAGTGAATATCCCAGTCGATCAGTGATGTTTCGGATCTCATTTGGAAAATGTACACTTGCTATATATTTGCCTCGTCTCATCTATTGCATCCGGTGCATAGCATAGTATGTACTCCCACAAGAGTACAGCATGATCATTTCGGCCATGCGGGGTAGGCAGTATAACTCGTCTTCACCGTCAGGATCCTTGGTGAAGAGGGGATCCCAGCAACTAGTCGGTTGCCTTTCACGCGCTCTAGTTGGAAATGAAACATGCTGTCTAAGAAGGGCATCAGAAGTTGTCTTTGGAAACGGTAGTCGAAGTTACACTTTGAGCACTTCGCGTGCATATCGCTCCACCGAATAGGTAAATAAATAAATTGTTACATTAAGTATCCCGAGGAGTAATGTTGAAGCAAATAAAAGTAAACTTTAGAGTTACGTTTAGACCACGAACAGAGACTATGTACAGTATAAAGTTCATGGTTATGAAAAACGGCTAAGAAGCAGTGAAAAAAACTTCTTTTTCTTCGTAAAACACAGAATGTATATGATTTGGTTAGCTCTTAAGGAGAAAAGAAACGTCGCTGATGAAAGGATTACTATGCAGGTCGGACAGGGCTGTCATGCACGTGGTAGTGCATAAGGGATTCAAAGAGGACCTCATAAAGCAGAAGCCATAAAGAACTAGAGGTTATTCGCACTAAAGTGGTGAGACGAGAGGAACCCAGAGCCAATCGGTCACAGTCCGCTTAGAGTCCAATCGAGGAGGGGACATTAAAGATTGAAGCGGTGAGCAAAATTCATGGGTAGATGTTACTATGAGACATCGTTTGTCGAAGGTTCCAGCGGCAATTTCAGAGACAGTAAGTGAGATGTGGTATCAACGTCAAAATAGTCCCAATTGGAGCACAGATCATCTCGTTGAGCCAAGTCGGAACAGCGGTTAATATTCTGTTTGTTTCCACCCTGTTTATCTTGTCCTGACGATCGTTACGCAATAAAATATGCGTGTACGCACGCGACGCAAAAACCGCGGAAAGGTATCCCCTAACTGGTAGAACTCTTTGAGAGGATTTATACGTAACTAACGCACTAGTTCATATTGAAATGAGCACTGGCGGTACCAGTAGGGATTAGCTCCACCAACTTCAAATGCAAGCTGCAACTGAGGCAATAGGTCCACACTGAACCCCCTATTTAATTTGACAGGGACCTGTGCAAACTTTCCTGAATACTAACTGATATAACCTTTCACAGAAGGGGACATTTTGAAATCATTGATAGACCATCATTCAACGAGATGGCAGGAATTAACGCAATAAATAAATGAGCCCTGTAACAACTACTGCCAGAGATAGACGCACTCGGGAATAGGTTAACGTTTGCACTGAAAGCGTTAATCTCGACCTTCAAGTGTTTTAATTCTCAAAAGTCTGATTTATCTGCAAGTGAGCGCGAAAATGATTGAGCTGGGCAACTTGCTGCGCGGTGTATTAGCCGAAATCCAAAAGTTCAATAAAAATGGTGAATTAACGAAGTAATTTTTAATGTTTCAGCCAAACGACGTCCTTTAAACTCGTCTGAACTAAACCGATTGCAAAACTTCAAAAAGGAACTATCCAAAGCTGTAATTTATTTCGTATATTCAATGAAACACATTTAGAAAGCGGATATAAACTACAAGATCGACGCTATGGAATCAGAGTCAATTAGATCGAGTTTTCTTCATGAAAAGCTGATGGAAGCTAAACTGAATATGGAGACTGATAAGAGAGGTAAGGAAAATAGTCATCGTGTATATATATACCGTTTTTAACTTCCCTGCAAATTAGAACTGACCGATGCTGTCAAAGAAATAACAAAGCAGTCAGTTGATGAAATTTCTCACGACATTTGTGAGACACAGACGCAAGCAAACAAGATAGCGATTAAAAAGAAGACTATACTTGCGAACATTGAATCCCTGAGGTTGGTTTTATTCTATTTGATGAAATAGATTTGAGTCTGGGGACATTAAGGCTGTGTTTATCAAAGCATCCGCAACAGAGGCTCTAACAAGTCACGTCGTTTGTCCGTCTTATTTGTGAGGTGGAGCCCGACAAGTGTACATACAGGCATGCTAGAGTTTGTTTAAATTCAGGAATTGTAGTTCCAGCTTAACCGGGTTTTCGTAATTTGCCTAAAATTAACAAAATGTGGAAGGGAATAAGCCAATACTTAACTGTTGTTGAAAGCGTAGTAGCGCCAAACACAACGTACAACTGGAAGACGAAAAAGGAGCATTTTCACTTGACAACAGACTTCGGGGATACTGAATAGCTGATAAATAATACGCGTTCGTTAGGTGATTCCAAAGAATGACAAAAGGCTTTGATTATTCGGTATTTTTTCAACCAGACAGAAGGTAAACCCGTCATCTGGTCATGTCAGAAGATCATTTGATCTTTAAAATATCACTAGATCTCCAGTTGCACGGGCAGCTCGAATTTTTTGAAGTTGTGAAATGTTCTCCGCTAGGACTTACAGTCGGACTTTAGTTTTTCATCAACTTGCTCTGTTTAAATTGATAAAGCACTATCAAGTCAACTGGTCTTTGGATCTAAGTAATTGTTACACCACAGCCAAACATATAAATACTCCATATCACTCGGCCTCCTTGTCGAGATTGTAAACAAGTCGTAGAATTTGACTACAGATTTCTTATGCGTATGGTGGCGAATCCGCAAAAACTAGCGGCATAACTTTCTTGACACACCTAGGTGCAACAGAGAGTTTTGTCGGCTATTCTATGCCTGTTCAGTCTGTCGAACGCGTGCGAACATCGAAATTTTGGTTAAAGCCGATAAGGACCTAAGGGTTTCAGTTCATGCTTGCACCTTGTTACATTTGCATCGCATACCTTTTATAAAAACGATTGCCGTACTTCAATTTTGAGGTACACGTTTATGTTTTTCTTATATTTACCGTCTGTTAACAGTTGTCCGAGTATTTTGAAATTACTTCTCTTTAAAAAAATCCAACTTGCGTAAAGTTCTTTCATTTTACGATCGGCAGGGACGTTTCACATTTTCCCATTTTAAGTGGCAATTTCGTCCGGTGGAAGGGGTTGGTTTGTTGAGCACTGACTAAGGATCCAGTACAGTGAGATACGGAGTCAATTTTACCCATATCAAACCGTAATAGGCCCATCGTTGTGTAGAACGAAATTATTGATTTGATCTATTAAGTTTATAACTCTTTTTTGAAAAATTAACCTTTGTGGAGAAATTTGTGGAATTGAGCATGAAACGAGAATAAACAACACCAACGAATAGCTTATAGGGCTTATACAATCAACGAACCCCTCTCAGTATACTTTTAAAAGCAATACAAACTCAGGGTATATGTAGTTACGATCTCCATCATTTCAGAGGGTTTTCTGACGAACCAGTTTCTTTCTTCCTCAAATTAATCGACATTTTTGGAGATTTTACTAAAACTAGCAGTCTGTCCTCATACTTGCGTTCGTACTGGCCTGCAAGCCACTAGCGTTTACCAAACATTTTACAATCTTTTACATTTATGCTCACATAAATAAGCAAGTTCTACTCACCTCTCGCTCATACTGGGAACTTCATTATGATACAGGTCGTCTGATGGGTATTAGAACGAACTTTGCAATTTCACTGGCCAGGATGTTGAATTCTGGGATTTTAAAACTTTATACTCGAAAACTTGTCAAATTTAATCAAAAAATTTTTTACATATTCGTCAAATGCACGCCAAATGTCCCTTGAGTAAAAATTTTAAACAAAGTCTTGCTTATTTAAGACCCATTGTCCTCGTCGATATCTTTACATGTTTTCCCAACTATTTTGAAAACTCGTTTGCTATAAGATACTTCGGTCCTAAAGCTACTTTGGGCATCATGTTAGAAATAAAAAACAAAGGTAGTATCGCAAGCAGATACAGTTGTTTTAACAGTAATCCACTTTCAAATCCACAGTTTGATCGAGAACTTGAGTTTTGCCAAATGTAAATATATTCGTCGATAAAAAGTCATTCGGAGCAACGGATTTCAGTTAAAGGTAGCAGGTTTTTACCGACAAAGACAAGGGAGACTGGAATGGCCATTTCTGGCTTATTAGCCGCCGTCAGCCAGTCATACCCAACCTCGAAGTGTGACACACCCGAGGCTCGAAATCGCGACCTGTTAGTTAGAAGTCCAACGCCTTCAACCATTGGGCCATGAGCCCGTTGTTCTGTCGGTTTTCGATCGGGAATGTACAGTGGTAGGGGCGCTCATCTAGTTTTGTATGTTTTGACAGATGGCCAAAATTTCAAATCTGTCATTGCGGGCTGTTTGCGGCTCTAGATCGTGATCCGTTTGTGCTTTGTTGTTTACCCAACCCGCTACGAGACACTGCGAAAGCGCTTTTATCCCGATAATCCTCACGGTTATCCCAATATAAAAATACGCTAACTTTCAAATTTGGTTCAGCAGCTTATGAGGATAATTTGTTTTCGAATCACAAAATCATTAGGCGTCTTTGCTCAAATTTCAAAAGATTATAGAACAAGGGTTTAGAAGAATAGCAGAATTCATAATCCTTCGCGGCGGTGGGAAGATTTGTGAGCAATATAACAGTCTTTTGTGAGGAGAGGAGACTTCTCAAGTATTCAGTTTGTTTTTTCTTAAGGACACATATAAAAATGCCATCCTCGTTAATCTATAAATGATCATTTATGTGAATAAGCACGTAAAAATTACAAGGCACCGAACATACGTTGGGACTTCATAACAATTGTAATTACTGTTCTAAAGACCCAGATAGTTTGAGCGCATAATTCCTAATGATAGTCCAGAATCAAGTTACACACCCGCTCTGAGATCAACTGGGTATGATTACGTACTGGGTAGTGTGAACCAGATAAAAAACAAATTCGAGATCTACCTTTCTCTTGGCAATGTGATCGAGCTTTTTTGTTCTGAGTTACATTATGCTCTATAATGACTTAAATTCGTGCCTTCTTTCCGTTCTTGAATATTAAAAATGGGCAAGAAACGGATTGTGCTACTGAATTTGCCCAGTCCACGAAATTCATCTGTATCTTAGTGGAAGACCTCTAGCCCGCAGCTTATTGCTATTTAAAGGGAGTATGTGATAGTGTCTGACTTAATACTTATTCCAAACTAACCATGCATATCGAAACAAAATATAGTTGGACAATTTAATAAAATTTGCTTACAAGGTGGTTAAAGTCCGGTTTTCTTAATGAATACTTTATCGCAAGTAATATTTGCAAAGATCCAAGTCATAGAATAAGCGCTAACGAATTTTAGACAAATGGCCGATTTTCCATTTTCGCCAATGAGATTTTTCTATTATTACTAGCACTGGTAATGCTTTGAACTAGAACATATCATACATGCATATGTATGTTATAGTTTTGTTGCTATATTTTTATGCAAAGAATTTAATGTGCCAGGTTTAACATATTCAGTGTTTATTTAACTGAAAAGCGATCAGGTCCATTCGCTTGAGCAGAAAAAGGCAGCATCATCTAACACTCTCAATGATACACTCATGGAGAAATCGACAAAACAAATAAATCTAACTGAAATCAATGCCAAAGTTCTGGATCTTCAACAAAAGGTTACGCATTTATTGTTTCAGTAATAATTGCCAATTGCACCTTCTGTCTTTAAAACGTTTGCACTCTCCAATTTTTTTATCGGTCACAA